AAGTGAAAAAAGAATTAGATACATGATCAGTACGTACTGGTCCCTGCTTATTAGAATTACAAAGCAGGTAAAAATGTTGTCTTTGATTGTAAGTTTCATTATATAAATAGCATTTTAGAAGAAGAATTTAATTCTACAGATGGTAATCCAACTTATACTCATTTTTTTCTTAAGGAAGAACTTGGGGGTAATAGAGAAGAAAACAATATATTCTACCTTGCCTAAATCAGTGCTACATTATGGCGTCATAGTATAGGCGAGATGACGTCAATTTTAGAAAGTTTTCATAATAATGGTATTTAGAGATTGGATTTAACGCTACAAAAATAATTAAGAGTGAAAACATTTAACAAAATAAAATGTTTTCATTTTGTAATGCTGTGACTGTCATTTTAATTAAAAGCTTCCATCGATGACGTCATATGTGTACATCAAGTAACTTGGGTATTGTTGTGTAAAGAGAATTTTGCTAAGAAGGCATCTACAAATATACACGGATTTCATTTAAATAAATAAGTACATGTGATACATAAATTGATGTTTACTACTATCATTGCTTGCTGTAGTGTTTCGACAACTTTCACAACTGGTGTCAACTTTCACTTGATCAATCAGATCATGGTTTTATTGAAATGACTTTTTAGTTCTGCTCCATTGTTCCTGCTATCTTGGAAAAACTGCATTGCCTGAAACAAAATGCACCATGAAATGAAAAGAAATATGTCTTCCTTTTATGAGTACATCAGTTAAATGTGATGACGGAAGAATAATTTTTTGTACATTCATATGTAACTGCTAAATGGAGGAAAGTTGAAGTTAGGTCATTGGAAAGGTCTACGTAAAAAAATGATTGATGTCATCAACACTGATTTTAAGAATATAGAGTTTATTATTACATAAATCATAAGTGAAGGTCAAAGGTGAAACAGTCAATAGGACGGCCATAGTCAGATTGCTCTTACCATTATATCTTACTCTATGATAAAGATTTATCTTGAAAAATTAAATAAATGTCATTGGAGAGACCAAGAATGAAAAAAAAATGTGATACCATGTATGTTGAAAACATTTTTTTAAATATAATATAACCCGGCAGGTAAAACTGGTGCAACTGTATTCATTTGCACCACTTTCTACTTCATATTTTCTGACAAAAAAGGGATGAAAGTACATGTACCTGGTTTCTGTCTAAAATTTGTAGAAGAATGTCAGAAATCAGACCAAAGTTAGATGTGACACTGTGACAAAAATTCCTCAGGAAGAAAAAAGAAAAATAATTACATGATACCATCTATCATTTTTTGGAGGTCCATGTTTGTTCTACGCAATTTTTTTATTGTTTATTGGAATTTTGAGGCTGGAATATAGTGTTTGATATCTCCTTAAATTTCATTAAAAGTTTCAACATGTGAATATAAAATATCAATAAAATTGCATATCCTATATAATAATTTTTTTTCTTAAAGCAGTTGTCACTTTTGATTGCTTGAAAGCATTTTGTCTCATATCCTATTAATGAATTGTGAATTGTAGTGTTTGATATTTCCTTATATTTCATTAAAGGTTTCTAGAATTGAACATAAAAATTGAAAAAAATTACATATCCTATACATGTATAATATTTTTTTCTATCAAACAGTGTCGAACTTTTGATTGCTTGAAAGTATCGATCTAGAGGTGTTCACTATTGTCAAATAAAGTGCCCCGCCAAAGCATGATATGCCCATCAAATATTGTTCAATAATCAAAAATTGGTTAGGGTGCAAGAAAATCAAGTAACCTTGATTAACAGATTGACACAGATTTCAATGATCTAATTTTCCATATCTTATCATGTTTAAAATATTGTACATACATCTCTAAGAGACTTACAGTGTAGGGATTAATTAAAACAAATAATACATCATATAAATTAATATAATATATATTAAACTGGCTGTGTTAGAGCACTTAAGGATACACCAAAGGTTTCCAACGGGCAAAATTTATTTTACTTGTAATTCTTTTATTAACAAAGATAACATATTAAAAGTATATATCATTTGAAAGCTTGTTAAATTTACTATTTAATGATCCTAATTTAAATTTTCATTTTTATCTTATTAAAAAATTATTAATATTTTAATGTAAATATTAGTGCATCTATATTTTATAAATCAACTTTTTTGTATTCCACCTCTCAAAGTCGAAATTTTGCCTCAATGTAGATTAAAGGTAAAAATTAAAGCACCGTTACTCAGATTTTCATAAATCTTCTTATTCCCAAGTTACATCCATTTGGCTTTCAATGTTACCAATTTATGAGCCTAATTCTACATTTCCCCCAGTAATTCGAGAACTGAGCAAGATATCAAAAATCTGAGATACGGTTTTGTCAAACACATTTGAGACGCATTCTGGCCAGTTTTCAGAGAAATTGGTCAAATAAATAAGGGAGCTGAATCCTTTGAAATAATACCATCAACTGTCTGATCTTACTTTAAGTAAGGGCAAAAACCCATTACACAACAAAGTCTGCCAAAGCTAGAAATATATGACACCTTGGAGATTCAGCTTTGGATACCTGTCACTTATCCATATTTCCTATGCATATTCACAAGAATGGGAGGTTCTTTTCTTTATTTAGGTGCTTTTAATAAAAATAAAAATAGGTTCAATTCTGAATGCAAAGATTGCCCGGCAAAATGGCAAGAGCTTAGCTCCACCTCCTATTACATCGTCATTAGTGACCTGTAAGATCTCCTTCCCTAAATATAGAGTCCCTGTCGTCTGTGTGGCTATGGAAGAATTCCCAAAAGTGGTCACAGTGATTTATTGCTCCTTTCAGAAGCAGGCAGTTACAGACCAACTCAGAAGCTTCAATAACGGCACATTCACATGTGTTAGTGTTTATGTTTGATTATTGTTAAATAATTAGAAAACCATTTAATATTTTTATGCATTATAAAGCAGTGATTAGCATTGTTTTCTTAACCAAAAATCTCAAAATTGACAAAAATCTTGAAAAAAGCCTTTGGTGTATCCTTAACAAATATCCATCTGCAGCTTTAAATTGTTTATTGCATAGTTTGTGAAATAATGGAAATGCTACAGTCTAACAAAAAAAAAAATTAATTATTCTTTAGACTATAAAATTCTAAGTTCAGACATGACTGCAATTTGTTGCAAATACATAAAAATTGAAATGTAATTTTTTTTTTTCAATGAACACATGTATAATTAATTTAATTATATTATACAGTACTAATTCAGTTTTAATCATACACTAAAACATCAATTTGTTTTAATTACATTACACCAATTGAAAGATCTTACCTGGACTATAGCCATCAAGAACTCTTAATTAACAACTAAACAACTATAAGCTACTGGCCATTTCTTTTTGCCCAACTCTCAAGAGATAAATTAAGCTTAAGATAACAACGCTGCATGATCAGAACTAGATATGCTCCTGCCAGTTAACTCCCGACAATAAACTCATTAATTTCTCTCTAATTTGACATGCACATTTCTGCTATCAAAATTCTCCTTGACCAGTGCTTGATAATTTGCCCATGGGACAAACTGAATTCCTCTCAAAACATTAACATTTGTTACAGAATTTGCTGTAAATTATATGATGAAAAAATAAGTTTTCACTTAATTTAGCAATTTTAAATAAGGATTCAACTATATTTTTACATTTTGTAGGATTATGAAATTTAAAATTTTAAAGACTTAGTTTTTTAAAAAAATCACTTAAATTAAAGGTCACAGTGACCTTGAAATAGGTCGTGACACACCCTCTACCCAAGATGCATAAATTGTCCAAGTTTGATGATTGTAAGTCTAATAGTTTTCTAGTTATGAGCCAAACAAAATCACAAAATAAAAAAAGAAAAAACTCCTGTAAAATGCAGAAAAATCATCCAATCATGATGAAAATACCGAGGTGCACACCTTCATATGGTGAATAATAAGTGTATAAATTTTCAGACAAATCCATCCAACAGTTTCCGAAACAGTCCGGACAAAATCTGTGTTACAGACGGACGGAGCAGACAGACGGACATGGTGATTCCAATATGCCCCTAAACTTCGTTTGCGGGGGTATGAAAAAGCAAACAAATTTTCCCTCTGGTGTTAAATGGAACCGAGTAATCGAGACATGGTGACCTAATTCTTTTCTCTGTAGAGGAAACGATCGCCGTATTTTAGGGATCAAATATTAGCAGAATAGAAATAAAGTCCTTGTTGTCGTGAATGATGCAGAATAACCTCCTCGGTCTCGAAATGTTGTTTGAAATATAAAAGCCAAAACTCACAGCAGCTTTTATCTTTCAAACAATATTTCTCGACCTCAGATGTTATTCTGCAACATTCATGAAAACGCGGACTTTATTTCTTAAATACTTAGTTTTTATTTTTAGCATGAAATGTTCAAAATGTCTTTAAACGTTAATTGATATGTAAAACATTTGTCAAATATTTCAATTTAACTTGAATAATTCAATATGTATTTTATCACATTATTTTATTAAAAAACTTACATGTATTTGTGTATGTTGACTATTCAAATCATCCCTTTCATAAATATGTGTGCTTTGTGCTCTAAATTATGAAAATGGAAAAGTATTGCACCAAAAAAACCCACAACCTCAGGTTGGATATTCATGACTTGATCATACTGCTCTAGCGATGTTGTTTCTATGGTTCCACTTTTTACTATTCCTGCATCATTAACCTACAAAGGATAAATTATTTATACAGGTTAATGAGACTTTTTCTTCTTACGCTTTTATTTTTAACAATTTTTATATAGACAAATCCTATGCCCCAATATTAAATAGAAGGGTATTTACTTAAATATAGTTTTATTTCCATTTAACTCACTTGAAATATAGTGAATAAATGTATGTTAATGTGTATTGTATTTACATTTATTTTTTTTTTTTACTTATTAATAAGGATAATTCTGTTCAGAATGTCACCCACCAGAATGTCTAATTTCCCGTAATGTTTTACGGTTTCTTCTCAAGCTGTTTCACAAAATCTTCATTGGTCAAATCACCAGCAAGTGTAAAGGGCTATAAAAACAACATAAAAGTTAAAAATCTGTCAGTTACATATATACATATAGGAAACCAGTCTGTCCTTTTCATGAAAGTGAAAAATACTCAAGTTTGTTAAGTTTTTTTTTATAGACTTGAGCATGTTGAAAAATTTTTTTTTTATGAATATTAAAGTTTTACAAACCTTCTTTCCATTTCCTTTCTCACATTCAGCTGCTGTTTTATTCAAATTTTTGACATTTCTACCAGTAATGGCAACTTCTGCTCCTAGTTTACAAAACAAGATGGCTGTCCCTGCACCGATACCAGAGCTGGCCCCTAGAAATCAAATACATGTTCAATGTACTAATTATTAAATGCCATAGTAATGCTAAGTGTGGAAAGTTCAATGTACTGGCAGAAAAAATGTAATGAGTAAAATTTCTGCCAGCTGTCCAAAACGTGACAGTGAAATGCAGAAATGTTATATAGTCTATATATTTGTAAGTGAGGAATATCGGATTATCACTGTTGACACAAACATTCTTTTGTGAGCTGTGAATGTGTAACAAAGGAAGGGAATCATTTTCTGACTTCCAGTAAAATCAAATATTTTCATCCAGGGGTCAAATTTTCATGGTTTAAGCAAAATCTCTTGGTTTGTGGGGATTTGAACTCGTGGATGAAGAATTGTTGAGTAGTTATGCATGTAACATTTTACATTTTGTGGTGGACATGAATTAGTGGGTTTCTGCATACCTCAAAAACAACGAAAATTAACCCCCCACGAAAATTTGTAATTTCACAGTAATTAGCTGAGAGTACCTAAACTTCTGCCCTGGCCTGCAATAGCGTGAATGAAATTTACTGGACACAAAATGCCTAACAATCATCAGATACCCAGGGGCAATCTTGTCCTTTTCTTAACACCAGTGGGCTATACAGGGTCACTTCATTTTATTGGCTACTGCACATAATCGAATCACAATAGGAATTGACTATTCTCTTTTAGAGAAGTGGACAGGCTTTTGCCTACATGGGTTTAGGCAAATTAGAACATTGTCCACTTCTCTAAGAGAATGGGAATTGACATGATTAAATAAACAAATCATGTTACGTTACATACACATGACTTTGTATGTACATGTATCATTGTATGTTCAGCAATAGCCATAGTAATAGTTAACTTACTGATTGCAAGCAAAGTCACCGCTTCATTTAGCAGTTAAATCTGTCTCCTATAATTTTCTTGCCTGATATTTGATGCCAGGGTTAATTTGACTTTATTACACGTTTACTAATATTTAAATTGTCATCTGTGGGCGTCCATTCAATGTATCAACCATTTTCATTAAAAATGCGACAATGTGCATCAAATACTGCTAAAGGTCATAAAAATATATAAGACATCCTTTCTATTTATCGATAAAGAATTGCCATGTTTAAACAAAGCGTTGACATACCTGTAATAAGAGCGACTTTTCCGTCCAATCTTGCAATTGATGCCATAATTTACAACCGGATCTTGAGAGTGCTGCATAATAGTGAAAATTGTAACCGAAATAGTGCTTAATTCCGGATTTTGGACAGAAGCTCCGTTGTACTATAAAGACCTATAGTTATATATCTATGATCTACTGAGGGAGGGGAGGGGTTTTTATCTCGAAAAAAAAATTAAATATTATATTTTAGATTACCAAATTACGAAAGCACAGTCCATTTTCGTAGGTTAAAAATATTTTTTTGCGGTAGAACGCGAAACTTTCACGAAAAACGCGCAACTTTCGCGTAATAACGCGAAGCTTTCGCGTTTTAATAACATTTCGTGATTCTCAACTGATGCTGTTCATTCAGTTCAAAGTCTATACGAGTTTTCCAAAGGTTTTTAATGAAAATCTTTGCATGGAAAAGCACAGGCAAATGTAGGTAATTACCCCTTTTTTTTATTTCTGTACATGTACTATAAGGTCGCGCAGTTGTAAATTTCAGAAAATTCAAAAACGACACAACAAAACTGGGAGTTACATATTGCCTCTTTCCTTTACCCTCCACACCCAATGGAAATAGGATTTTAGAATTTGGACAGTACTGATTTATTTTTTCGAGGGGGGGGGGGTGCTACATGTACTGGTCAGAATCATGAATATCGGGAGTTTTTGTCCCCCTCGCAAGGACCATTAAATTCCTCTGTCATTCTGTCTGTCACAAAAAAAAGAATGTCATAACTTTTGAATGCATGAGAAGAGATACGGCTTAGGGCTTTCACATGTACATATGGATGTATATTACCTGCATGTGACAGGATCTTTCAAAATGTACTATTATAATTATTTTTACTGAATGATTTAATATCTTCTTTTCAATACATTTTTTCAGCAATTTTATCTTTCCTTATTTACTATAACTTTTAAATGAGAAGTAAGGTTTTAAATTCATACTTGACCTGTACATTACCTGCGACAAGATGTTCCCACGCAGACTTATATAATATGAACCTTTTTTTGTACAAGAGATTTAATAATTTTTTTAGCAAAAAAAAATTAAATACAGGGTTATACTAAAGTATACATAGATTTTACAAAGATGTTTTACGTATCTTCATTAATTAAAGGAAGAGGCTGTAAACTAGACGCACTTGGTTTTATTATAAAAAAAAAAATGAACAATGAAACGTGATGTAAACATGCATACATGTACGATATGTACATGTGACCTGTTGTTTGCATTGAATTCATCACCATGTCAAGTTCGAGGGGAAAGATTGTAATCCCGATTTTGTTTTTTCTTTTTCAATTAGGCTACCTAAATAATAGAATTTAGCATCTGAACTAATAAATTTTAGACGCACGACGTGTACAAACTATAAGGGGGGTTCGAACTGAGCATCGAATCTTCCGTATAACATCTTTAAAAAAATTATGTTGACTCACGCCAGGATATAACCGAATGACTTGGAATTAAAAAAAAAACTATAATTGATTGGTCCAATAACCCACCAATTTACACCCCATTCAGCAAGATCCCGCAAATGCGGCAGTGTTACACCAAATCTTCAGTAGAGTAAACCAAATATGTGTACTAGTGATACTTTTATATCAAATCCTTTATGGCCAGAAACATGCACGCCAACGATAAAAGGAATTAGAATTCTTTGAAAAAAGACATATTCACTATCGATATGTCTTTTAATTTAGTTTTTTTGTTCATTGTCATACAGTGTGTATATGAATAAATTACAGTAAAATAAATTTGCAACCTATACGTGAATAATCATGTACAAAGTCTTTTTAATTACCAATACAAGTTGAAAAACAATTTTAAACTGAAAATGTGACATGCACATACAATGTTTAAGTAGTATTAATGGGGATCGTATTTGGCACTTTTAATGGTTCAGCAGCTCGATTCTTAGCGCAAACGTTTGTTATGCGTTGCAAATTTCTATGGTTTAGTTCATGATTATAAATAATCAGAAAAATGTTTCTTTGGAAAATTAATTTTTCAAGAATGTTCAAAATCATAATTAAAAATTATTGGTTGTGACTTAGTTTGAATCTACTAACCAACACCGTAAATTTTGGCGATTATAATAATGCCAGACTTAAAACACTAGTGTTTATTACTTTTCATAATGTTTCGTATATAAAGCTTGTATCGAAAAGTTGCAAAGCAGAAAAATAAACAGCAACAAAAAAAAAAAGGTAACTTTTCCCTTTCTTTTTACCTTTCCTATTCATATGTCTTATCGACTCCATACTCCTAGTTGGAGTGGGGAGACGTTAACTCTCTCTACTCAGCTTTCGAGAGGTAGGAGTGAGGGAGAAAGTGGTGGGAGAGAGAGAGTGGAGTGGGAGTGGTGAGAGAGAGGAGAGAGAGAGAGTGGTGGGGGAGAGAGAGAGTGGTGAGAGAGAGAGAGAGAGAGAGAGAGAGAGTGGTGAGAGAGAGGAAGAGAGAGGGATTGGTGAGAGAGAGGGAGAGAGAGGGGTGGTGAGAGAGAGGGGGGAGAGGGAGAGGGTGAGAGAGAGGGGTGAGAGAGAGAGAGGGAAGAGGGAGTGATGAGAGGGAGAGAGAGAGAGTGGTGAGAAAGAAAGCGGAAGAGAGGGAGTGGTGGGAGAAAGAAATTAGAGAGAGAGAGAGAGTGGTGAGAGAGAGAGTGGTGGGAGAGAGAGAGAGTGGTGAGAGAGGGAGTGGTGGGAGAGAGAGAGGGAGTGATGAGAGAGAGAGAGGGTGAGAGGGAGAGGTGAGGGTGAGAGGGTGGGATGAGGGAGGGGAGGGAGAGGGAGTGATTGGGGAGAGGATGTGGTGAGAAAGAAGGAAGGGGAGGTAGAGTGGGAGATGAGGTACATGTATACATTAAATTGGTAAAATTAGTTTTTTAAGTACTGTATAACAAAACAAAAAAGGAAATATTTCCTGATTAAAATCTGGAATAGGGGCTGGGTGAAGTTGAACCAGAGACCCCAAATGCAAAAACAGGTCATCACACACCACTAGGCTATACAGACACAATTAAGGACAAACATATGTATGCCACATAGTTTGAACTTAATTGCCTTTTTCCCAGAAGTTGAAGAGTTCGAATACATCAATATAGTCTTCAACTTTGTGCTTCATTTTCAGTGGCGGATCCAGAGGGGAGGTTACGGGGGTTGCAACCCCCCCCCCCTTTGGATTTGCAAAAAAGAAAGAGAAATAAGAAAATTCCAATATTTTGGTGTGTTTTTACTATAGAAAATGTAAGGTGAAAGGCTACTGTTGTAATATATAAAGAAATTCGGTTGTAAAAAAACAAAATAAAACCCCATCCCTTTACAAAATAGGATTTTCAGGTTCGGAGATTTATTTTCCTTTCTTTTTCAAAAATTTTCTGGTAATGTATACAAGTACTTTTTCCCAGATTGATCAACGTTCCACTTTCAAAAACCATACTCCACCCTGTATCGATATTCTATTAAGTTATTTAACTATATGTATGTGTACAACGTACGTTTTAACTGTTCTCGCCTTCAACCCCCCCCCCCCTTTTGAAAAATACTTCAACCCCACCTTTGAAAAATTTCTGGATCCGCGCCTGATTTTAATGTCTATTTATACTGTTGTATATTATTCCAAAATAAGTTTGGATATTTGTATATTTTACTATGAATTATACAAAAAAATTTCATAGAATGATATTTCTGTGCAATTTCGATGTGTCTGTCGATATCTAGCTGTCTATCCGTCCGTCTGTATTGGATTCTGTCTGTGGGTAACACTTTCGTTTCCACACAATATCTCAAGAAGCCTGTGAACTTCTGCAATGAAAATTTACATAATAACTTCCAGTGGCCTACGGCAGGTCCCTTTTTTGATTTTGAGGTCAAAAGGTTAAAGGTAAAAGTCATCAATTTAAAAATTATGTCTGTTTTAACAGTTTCCGCATTAACTTTGAGCTTTTGCAATGGTATTTTAAATCACAACTCTCTATGGCTTGAGATGTATTGAATTTAAGGTCAACAGGTCACAGGTCAAGATCGTAAATTCATACATTTTATATATGTGCATGTGTTAGTAAAATTTTTCCTTTTAGGGCGATATCTAGAACCTTTTGAGTTTTGCGATTAAATGTTACACCAAAGGCCTCCGTCCATCGCCTCTGTACGCCCCTCCGTTCGGCTGCATTTCTGTCACACTTTCATTTCCAAGGGATATCTCAAGAAGCCTTTTAACTTTTGCGACTTTTAAAAATTCTACATGACAACTCCCTATGGTCTAAAGAAGACGCCTACTGATTTTGAAGTCAAAAGCCTTAAGGTTTGGTAGAGGGTAAACTAGACACGCTGGTAAAATTTTGACAGTGTAGAATGTGATGTAATCATTAGATTTAAGTTCGTCGATGGCCGAGTGGAAAGGTTCTCGCTTTGCAAGTGAAAAACCCCCGGATCGATAATGTAATAAATATTTCATATTAAAAGAATATTTTAAAAAATGAGCAGTGAAATCTTTATATCCATATTTGCATTTTTTTTTTTTTTGCTTCAGTACATAATTTAGTAATTCTGCAAATTCGGAGAAGGGGGAAGGTCAACCCTAATCTGAGCATCCTCCCCGTTTTTCCTTCAGCGATGGACACATATTCTTTGAATAAGCTTGTCCTCAAAATGTTTGAACCTGGTTTATTATCAAAATATGATTCGTTTCAGTCATCTTGTACGAGAAAAAACGTGCGACATAAAAGTTTATTCTGTCTCAATATTTACAGGAAGAATTATACTTAAGTATTTATATAATGTCTTTCAGTATTCAACATCAGAAGTTTCATTTTGTCCACTTTCTTTTTCTGGCGATTCCTCATTTGTCTCGCTAGGTTTCCCATCAGTGATGTCGGTCTCTTGTTCCGGTTTTGTTTCTTCCGGTGAATTGTCTTCCGGCATTATAATTTCCGCTTCCTCTGTAACATGTGCTTTCTCTTCCACTGCTGGGCATATCAATAAAACTGGTTCTTCCTGCTTTACAACGCAGACGATCGCGACAGGTTCATC